TTTTTTTGTTGTCTCTCTCTTCCTCTCTCTCTCTCTCTCTCTCTCTCTCTCTCTCTCTCTCTCTCTCTCTCGTATGCAATTTAGGCTCCTGCTTGTTAGCTGTAGCTTTGGACGGCGCGCGGCTCTTCCGCTTGCGCTCGCGATCAAATAAGTACCCCACCAGCCCAGTCAGAAACGCCGTCCATCAGAGCTGACAGGGAGTTCAAAAAAGAGGCACATCCAGCGAACCAAAGCGGGCAACCATGGTGAACTGCGAGATTTTTCGGAGCAAGGGGGTTGCCCTGGAGGGCCATTTCGGGTCCGGGTCCCCCTCTGAGACCCGTGCTGAGGCGAGGGAAGAAGAAGGAGGAGGAGGAGGAGGAGGAGGAGGAGGAGATAGAGGACGACGACAATGAGTGTCCTCTTTGGGCTCTGTTGTTGGGTTTTGGGTCTTAGGGCCCTCTTGGGGGCTTTTCGGCCTATCGTGGGCCTTGGAGGGCCTTTTGGGGCAATCTTGGGGAGCATCGGTCAAAGGTTTGGGGGTCCTCGATTTCAGCTCTTCCCTCAGGAACCCTCCAAATCGCCTCTTGGAGCCCTCCTGGGGTTCTTTTAAGGCTCTTTTGAATGCATGGGGCCCTCTTGAGGGCCCTTTTGGGGCCCTCTTGGGAACCCTGGCGGGACTGCTGGGGCCATTTTGGAGGGTCCCCGATCTAGCCCCCTCTGCAGGGTCCTCAGCATCGCCTTTTGGGACCCTCTTGCGGCCCTGTTGGGGCTCGCTTCGGGCTCTCTTGGGAGTCTTGGCGGGCCTCTTGGGGCCATATTGCAGGGCGTCGATCAAAGGATGGAGGGTTCCTACATGTGCCTACCCGGCCATCAGAGTCGCCTTGTGGGACCACCCTGGGGCTCTTGGAGCGCTCTGGGGCCGTTTTGGAGGCATCTTGGGCCCCGCTTGGGCCTCTCGTGGGCCATCTTGGGGCCAAAGCGCACCGCAAGCGAAACGGCGAGAAGGCACACATCTTTGATGTGCTCCAGGTGTTTGAAAGACTGTTGTCGCTTAGGGGTTCCCGAGGGGGCTCCGAGAGCACTTGGAACAGCCTTGTGGCTTTCTTGGGGCCATGATGGAGGTCATCTTGAACAATCTTGCACTACAGCGATCGGCTTGAATGAGGAACGCTTACTTTTCAAAAGGGACTCGGTCGTTCCGTAGGCGTGCATGCGTTATCTATCGTTCCTTATGCGTTATGTATTATTGATCGTTACTTATGCGGTATTCCTTGGAGAAAAAACGGGCTGCGTTCCTTACTTATCGTTCCTTATGTCAGGCCGATGGCTGTTTCTTGAGCCGTTTGGGAGGCCATCGTGGAGCATCGGAGGAGGCCCTCTTGTAGCCATCTTGGGCGAAGCAAGACCCTCGCGCACGTGATCGTGTTCTGATTCCTTGTTTTGCCGATCGGCGCGGGCCCTCGCACCCCCCCGCCTCCCCCCATGGAGTGGATCTTGGCTGTTTTTTAGCGCCTGTGTCGAGTAGGTGTAGTCTCCCCCATAGGCAGCACTCTTGCAAACAGTCGCACGGAGCAGAGGTCTGGAGCCAGACCCCCCCTCTCCACCCCCCTTTCCGCCCAACGTCGAAACGCCGAATAAAAAAACGCTCACCAGACACCTCGGGCACCCTGCCAAAAACCCTCAGGGAGGGGAGGGGGGGGGTACCCCTCCCCGAAGGGAAGAGGGCTTTGGAAGAGGAAAGAGCGAATTCGTTCGACCACCTGGGCCCAAACGGCTGGTGGGATTCGGGTCCGTAGCCATTTTGGCTCAAGCTGTTGTGGTTCAAGGCGTCCTGTGTCCAGTCCCTCATGCGCTGCGCTGGGCAAGGGCGGTCATAACTCCCCTGTTGTGCGAAGGCTGGTTGTGAACGCCTTGCACAATGGAGCGGGACCAGCTACGGATTACCAGCATGCAAATACGTCAGCACCTGGGTGCACAGAACAGCACGTTCGGCATCGTGCTGACACAGTTTACTTGCTGGCCATGGCTGGCCGAATTATCTCTATGCAGACTGGTTTTGCGATGCTGGAGTCGGCCTACACTCGGCCCATGAACTCAGCGAACATCATGATGAAGAATATATTCGATCTACTCCCGGGGGCAATTGTTTTCTATCTTTTCGGCTACGAGATAGCCTTCGGGGATCAAACCCAACTTGTTGAGGAATTCACTTTGACTTTGCGCTCAGGTTCCTCCAGCTTTCATACGCAGCAACCGCTGCAACAATCACCAGCGGTGCTCTAGCAGGCGGGGTTGCCTTCATACCGTATCTGTTATTGTCTATCGTGACAACGGGTATCATCTATCCAGTGGTTGTTCAGTGGACTTGGGCTAGAGGATGGCTGGGTCAATGGGGCTTCATTGATTCTGCAGGTTCCTCAATTGTGCACCTAGTGTGTGCAGTCAGCGCCCTCGTTGCAGTTTGCATATGTGGCCCCCGAATAGGAAAGTATCCTGAGTACCAGCCTTGGAAGGGAATTCTGCGGAGGATATGCGTCGAGCGCAACGGGAGAGAGTATTATGAGGTTCCACAGTCTGGCACCGAGCGAGTCATTACGCCAAAATCAAAGCTGTCAGTAACCCAGTGCAGCTCCTCTTTGGAGTCTTCCTTTTGCTCACGGGGTTTCTTGCGTTCAATCCAGCGTCCACTTTTTCCACCATCGGCAGCAGTGATTTATTGGCTGCAAGGAGCACAGTGCTCACACTTCTCACTACTACTGGGGGCTCACTGGCATGTTTCGTGGCATCTCTGGTCCGGACGCGTTCACTTGTCGCCAGCGTGCCAGACATGACCAATGCAGTGTTGGGCGCCATGGTGGCAAGCTGTGCATGCTGTAACGTTTAACGTTTTGAATCCGCTGGTAGGGGTCTTTGTGGGATTTGTGGCCCCTGTTGGCGCTTTGGTGCCAGTGGTGGCTCAACGAGCGCCAGATCGACGACGTCGTGGGCGCGGTAGCAGCCCATGGCTTACCTGCTGTATGGGAAGTCGTCAGCGTTGCGCTCTGGGCGCAGCCCCACTGCAACAGCTCGCTACGCGGCTTGGCCTTGGGCGGTGGCATGGATGCTCTAGAGTTGCTGAGTATACAGGTAGCGGGCCTCATGGCAATCAGCGCGTTTGTGGCAGTTTCTCTTTAATTTGTCCTGGTTAGCATCGAGGTGATGATCGGCTTCCGTTCCAGCCGCGCTGCAGAGCTCAATGGGCTTGACTTCATGGAGCACCGCTACGACGATGGCAGCCTTGGCACAGACCCAAACGTTGTCACGGTGATCACCGAGTCGGCGATGCGCGATTGCTTGGCGCAGCGCATGGTACGACATTTGTCCCCCACGAAAAGGTACAGTTACAATTCCCCAGCAGAGACTTGTTTAGTGGCGGACTCGGCGGGCAGCAATCTGCCGAACGCGCCCTGTGATGCGAGGGCCAGCTCGTCCGGTGAGGCCTCCACGGAGCTGGGAGCACAACGTGCTCGCGAGAGTGCTCCCGACGAACGTGGAGTTCGCCAGCCGAGTGGGGCGCCCGCTTCCAGAGCCTCCACCGCTCCCAGCAGCACGTCGGAGGCGCCTGGCAACGGCCAGCTGCCTTCCCAAGAGGAGCTGGCGCGCGAGGTCGCGGCCCTGCGTGCCGCAGTGAAGCCTCTGGGAGAGCAGAGGGCTGTCCAGACAGCAGCTGCTGGCGCAGAGCAGACCGACGGCGCAGCGCTCGGCGCGCTCCGCGGTAGTTCGTTAGCCGGGATGGGCCGTGCAGGCGCCTTGCGGCAACTGCTGCATGAGACAGAGAAGGTGATGGCAGTGGCTCGGGCAAGTCGCCCGAACGAGGGGCATGCCGGCCGCAGGGTGTGAGCCTGGACCCTGCCTTCAGTCGTCTTCCTGCTGACCGAGGAAGGGTAAGACGAGGAGGAGGAGGAGGAGGAGGAGGAGGAGGAGGAGGAGGGCGTGGGGTTTGGTGGGGGTGGGTGGGGGCGCGTGGGGGGGGGGGGGAACGGCAGTGCATCGGTGCCGCTGGAACCATCGGACGCCCCAGCGGGAATCAGGTTTTTGCATTTTCTCGGCTGATTTGCGCCTCTTCGTGCTGAAGCGCACGCTGGCGCTCCAGGCGAACGACCACGAGCCAGAGGCATCCCGCTCTGTGCCCAGACGGCACCATCTTCGGACCATAAAAAACAAGAAAACATAGGCTGGTGGGATGCAGGCGCCAGACAGAGCCATAGGCGGCCGGGAAGTCTCCGGAGAACCGCTCGGCCCACCCTACCGACACGTCTGGTAGGGCGACGACGACGAGCTATTTGTAATGGGTGAGTTCCGAGGGGGTGGGTAGTGGAGCTTGCTGACACTCAAGTAATAAGATTTCTTGTTCTTCACCGAATCGTTCCAGCCCTCTCGAGCCTGGCTGGGGAGGGTGATGTGAGAGCCGCTGGAGCAAAGAATGGAGGAGGAGGAGGAGGAGGAGGAGGAGGAAGCACGGAGACGACTGAAGGTGGAGGGCTTGGTGGCCGGGGGGAAGAAGGCAAGGCGAGCTGGGAAGGCGAGAGGACATGGGCAAGCTGGACGCGCTCGCGCCAAGTCTGACATACGGCCCCTGCCACTCGTTCCCTAATTTTTTCGCTGAGGTTTCTCGCTCCGCTGACGTGTGCTATAGCGGACTGGAACTCCCAGACGGACCCCATCCGGTCATGCGCAGTCGGAAAAAAGGGGGGAGCTGCGTACGTGAAACGAGGAGGAAGAGGAGGATGAGCAGGAGAAGGTGGCAGATGAGCAGGAGGAAGAACAGGATGATAATGAGGAAGGAGGGCGAGGACGAGCGACAGCAGCAGCATGAGCAGGAGTGGGCGAAGCGGGAGGCACAGCATGACCAAGGGAAGGCGGGGGAGGGGAGAGGAGCGGGGCGACAACGACGAGGAAGCACTCGGATCCAGAGATGTGCCCCGCGCTGTGGCGAGTGCGCCACTCTCTGAACGACGGGAGCAAAGCGCCGATCCTGAACTGTGGCCAGCGTTGCAGCGGGATTGCCATTTCGGAAGGACCGCAAACGCAAAGGCTTGGAGCGAATCAACACACGAGATCGTCCAATTCGGACCAATCCTGTGTTCAAAAAACTATGCGCGAAGGGGAGCGCGCCACTCTCAGGGCGTCTTCGGGGGAGAGAGGCGAGTACGGTGGGGCGTTGACTAAGGAATGTGCCCAGGAGGCTTTAGACCCTGGAGGGTTCCTGATCTGATGAGGGTGGCGGTGATATCCATGGCTGGTCCACGATTGGAGTTCAACCAGCCTCCAGATCCTGGATTCCCTATGCAAGGGTTCCTTATCCAATGCCCCCACCGTAGCAGTCATGTTGTGCCATCGTGGAGGAAAGTGAGGGCCAGGAGAGGGGAAGAGGGCGGGGAGCCGGGAAGGCAGGAGGGAGGGAGGGTGGAATCAACTGGGGGGGGCAAGCTAGGCGCGCTCGCGCCACATCTGACATCCGATCCATCCCTTACGTCCCTTCCCGTTGCGCTGGTAAGTTCTCTATCCGCGGGCGCGTGCCAGAACCGACCTGACATTCCATTACCCCAGCAAAGCACCCTAGTAGCAGAAGAGGTGACCTGTGCGACCTGTGGGGCAGGTGGGAACTGTGGGACTTGTTCGATGTGTGGAACTTGTGGAACCTTTGGGGCTTTTGTGTCCTGGGGGGCAGGTGGGGACTGTGGACCTGTGGGACCTTTGGGACCTCTGGGCCCTGCGGGACTTGTGGGATCTGTGCGACCTGCGGGACCTTTGTGGCTTGTGGGGTCCTGTCAGATCTGCGACACCTGTGGGGCGTGCGGTTCTTGTGGGACCTGCGAGATTTGTGGGGCGTGTGGGGCCCGCAGGACTCGTGGGACCTGAGGGACCTGGGGGACCTCCTTGGGAACTGTAAGACTTGCGACGCCTGTGGGACTTGCAGGACCTGCTGGACATGTGACATGTGGGACCTCTGGGACCTGCGACACCTGCGACACTTGTGGGATATGTCAGACATGTGGTGCCTGTGGGACCTGTGAGACCTGCGGGACGACCTGCAACACCTGTGGGCTCTGTAGGACTAGTGGAGCCTGCGAGACCTGCCACACTTGTGGGAGCTGCGAGGCCCGTGGGATCCAGAAAAGTGGCTCACGCGGGTGCGACAGCGCCAGTCTGAACGACGGGAGCAAAGCGCTGATCCGAAAATGACCTCCACGCTGCAGTGGGAACACCATGTTTTTAACACCGAAAGCAGTCAGAGTGCAAAAACACAGGGAAAAAACTCGGACCAATATTTTGTGTAAAGAAGCGGGAAGAGCGGAGCATCTTCCGGACAGAGTCAGGGGAGTCGAGCGACACGAATTCATATTGCGTGATTGTGGAGCGGGAGGAGGGGGGATGAGGGAGGGGAAGAAGGGACGGGGGGAAGGGGCAGGGGTGGGGGCAGGCTGGGCTGAGATGGGCCAAGGGCCTCCTGGCCGGCCCCCTCCCGTCCCCACCTCTCCCCTCTCCCTGTCCCCCTCCATTCTTCCCTTCCCCCTCCCCGCCCCCGCCCCCTCTTCTCCTCCCAGCAGGATGAGGACGAGGTGGAGCCCAGCAAAAGCAGGAGGGAATGTGTGCTGGTTGTGCGCTGAAGCTGTGCGTGCTTCGGCTTTTGCGGGGTGCGAAGAACGCTGGTGCTACGGGCGTCGCCTCCTCCTCCTCCTCCTCCTCCTCCTCCTCCTCCTCCTCCTTCCCAGCCATGTTCCCACTGCTGCTTCTGCTTATCCTTGCTCGTCCCCCCTCCTCCTTGCTGAGTTTCCTCCGCGCTCGCTGCGTCCTACCAGTGGACAGCTTGAGTCGTGAGCGCCGCCTCTGCTGAGCCGTCGTGCCAGAGCGCCACTGCAGGAGAAGATCATCAACTCTAGCCCGATCCTCGAGTCCTTCGGCAACGCGAGCACGGTCCGGAACATCAATTCGTCGCGATTCGGGAAGTACAACGAGATGGATTTCAACCGGGTCGCAGCTTGGGAGTGGGCGGGGAAGGAATGCAGGATGGGAGGGTGGGTTTTGAAGGACGGCCATTGACTTGGGTCGTTATCCCCCCGTCTCCGGATTAGGCCTTCCTGAAACCGGCTGCATGTGGGCCTTTGACATTGGTTGGACGACAGTTTCTGCTAATTTATGTTTAATGGATACGCGTGCAAAGCACTCATTTTCGTGCCAATCTCAAGGCTAGGCTTGGGGCCCGAGTGCGTCGCGTACGCAAGGCTGTACACCACGCGTGTTTCAATACAGTTGGCAGCCGCGAATGGCTGACCAGTCTTCAGTCGCCTCGAAGACCATCTGACCAATAGGTGCCGCTCCTACAACCAGCAGCGGCCGAACATTGGCCACCGTTGGTGGCCTCAGAGCAACCGGCGACACCGCAGTTGAGCGCTCGGCCCCCTGTGGGGGTGGGGCGTTCTTGTTTGATTGCCATCGCTGCATCCGTGGTCGCAAACCTCCACGTCCCGTGTTGGCGCCAGCTCCGCGACACGTTCAGGCCTCCTGCAGTGGCTTCCGCGGAGCGCTGCGCCGTCGCGACAGAGGGAGTACTTCTCTGGGTGCGGGCAGGGTCTTTGGGTCTTGCGGGTGCTTGCGCGAGAGGGGCGTATTCCATCATGTCTTGCCTTTCGGCGTTACCCGCGTCATCCGCACCATGTCCTGAGGTACGGAGGGACTTGTGGCGCCACCACGGACACTTTGGCTTCTCGCGCTCGGCCCCACTCTCACAGAGATTTGTTTTGTTTCTCTCTCTCTCTCTCTCTCTCTCACTCTCGCTGTCTTTCCCAAGCCTTTACCTCGGCCACCGCCCCCACCTACGTAGCCTCGGCCATCATTGCTTCTCCCATGTGTGAACCCAGCGCCAACTTCAGAACAGGTCTGGGACCCAGTTCCCTGTAGAAGACGATGACTCCAGTGCACCGTGCTTGAAACGGGCTCCCTGCGATCCCTCAGCTTGTTCCAGCAAAGCTCATCCAGAACAGCACTTCAGCTTCTTTTGAAAAACAGGTGAATGCTCGCATGCTCACTACAAGGAGGAGTCTAACGGCCTTCGGCCCATCCCGCCACCGGGCCTGGGTTGTGGGGATAAAGCTTAGTGGATGTTCGTTAGGATCTCGTGGGAGGCTTCTCGGGGGCCTCTTGGAGGCAGTTTGGTCGCCTCTTGGGGGCCGCTTGGGGACCTTTAAGGCCCTTTTTGGGCCTCTTGGGGGCCTCTTCGGGCCCGTTGGGGCCTCCTGGGCGCCTCTTGGGGCCAATTGGGGGCCTCTTGGAGCGGAAAGGTCGGATTTTCGGTTCGTGATCCCTCTTTGGGGCCCCCTTTGGAGCCGTCTTGGGGCCCTCTTTAGCCGCTTTGGGCGCCTCTTGAGCTGCCTTGGGGCCCTCTTGGGCTGTTTTGGGGCCCTCTTGGAGGCCTCTTGGGCCGTTTGAGGGCGGTCTTGGGCGCCTCTAGGGCGGTTTGGCAGCGCAGAAGCTTAAGGACCATCAGTAATTTTGGCCTCTTGGGGCCCTCTCGGGAGGCCTCTTTGGGAGTCTTGGAGGCCTCTTGGGCCGTCTGGGGGCCATCTTGGGCGTCCTGAGGTGATCGTTCGGCGACTCGGGGCCCTCTTGGACCGTCTCGGAGGCCTCTGGGAGCCCTCCGTGCTCGTTTTGGGGCCCTCTTGGCTTGAAAAAGTCACGCGACAGGCTGCGGTAAGCCCCAGGGTGCACGCGCCAGGCCCAAGAAGATTTGAGAATTTGCGGTCCGGGCCCCTAGTTGACCCCTCAGGACTGAGGACTGAGGCTAAGGGATTGGGCACAGGACCTGAGGACGCGCCCACTCCGTGCCCAGAGGCATGTCTGCAAGGAGGTACTTGTTCCCGTCCCAGTCTTCTCTAGATGTTAGGTGGCGGCATCGGGTGCTCGTGTACTGAACCCTCCGCTCGAACCCGGCCCTGGTCGTCGATCCAACTGGATCTTCGCATGCTTTTTCGGTTCGACCTTCACCAGATTTTTGACAGTCCGCGTTGATTCAATGGCACCGTCGTTGGTGTCGGATCACTTCGGATTTCAGGCAGATCTTTTTAGTAGCCATCTCAAGCAAGTCCCAGTCAGCTCGAACTCCCAGCTGGTCCTTAGTTTATGTCTTATTTAATCGCAACGGCTGGGTCAGCATGCTCGCGTAGAACTGTCCTGTGTCCTTTCCACATGAGTCGTCCTTCCTAGGCCTTCCGGCTATCGGTCAGACGTTCGTGGTACCCTAGCGCCCGCGTGGGCCAGGCACATTATTTCGACGACAGCAAATATCTCTGAACATTCATTGTGCCGGCCTGTCTGTGCGCACTGCATGCAGTTCCGTACGAGCTCCACGGCTTGGGCTTTGTACCACATTGGGCCGCGTGTGCAGCGTGGTGCAGTGCGCGTGCCATGCGACAGGCATGTCGATTGTGGTGGACGGCCTGTGGCCTTCCAGATGGACTCCCGCAGTGCAGGGGAAGGGGGAAGGGGGGGATGCAAGCTGGGGGCGGGCGCGCGTGGTCTATTTAGTATCTCACCCCTCCCACACATACCGTCCCACTGCGCTGAGTTGTCTCTATCCGCCGACGCGCGTCACAGCGGACCTGGAACCCACAGAAGGATTTCATCGTGCTGTGTGCAACATGAAGAAACATGAAGAATGGGGCCTTTGTACATGTGAGGGGGAGGAGGAGGAGGAGGAGGAGGAGGAGGAGGAGGAGAAGGAGGAGGAGGAGAAGGAAGTGGCAGATGAGCAGGAGGAAGAAGAGGATGAAGACGAGGATGAGGAAGGGGGGGGGACGAAGAGGAACTGCAGCAACGGATGAGCAGGAGGAGCAGGTGGCGGGGAGGGGAAAGGAAGAGGGCGACAACGACAACGAGGTACACTCGGATCCAGCAGCGTGGCCCGCGCTGGGGCGAGAGCCATTCTGAACGACGGGAGTGAACCGCCGATCCTTAAATGGGGCCCACGCTGCAGCGGGAACACAACGTTGAACCTCCGATGACACTCATGTTAAGCAGCAGCATCTGAAAGATCAACTCGGAAACCCGTGTGTGTAACTGCATGGAGAGGGCGGGATGCTTCCAGGACGCAGTCGGGGGGGAAGAGATGAGTCGTACGCCTATTCCGAAGCAGTGCTTGTACTTATGGTGTTCTTGCTTCGGTTGGTTGAGCATGCTGACGGATCTCCGGGTTGTTTGCCACGCTTCCGCTCATGTGCGCCTCGTGAGCGCCCCGTGCTCTGGGTGGGTTTTGCCATCTTACCGCTCGTGGGCGCCTGGGCGCCTCGTGGGCGTTGGGTGGGTTTCTCGAGGATTCGCCACGCTCCCGCTCGACATAACTGACACCACTTAGCGCACATCACATAGCTTACGCCGCATGAGCTCATACCACATCGCTTACACCGCATGAGCTCACGGCATACTGCTTGCATCGCATATGTTTCACAACATCGCTCACACCCCATGAGCTCACACCTCAGAGTTAATTCTGCATGGCTTTCACCTCCATAGTGCACTAACTCATTGTTTGGGGTTCAGGCTGGCTAAAATTGAGCAGCTGTGGAAGGGAAGGGGGAGAGGGGAGAGGGGGTAGGGAGGGTGGGAGGGGGAGGGCGGATCGGTAGGGGCGGGCAGTGAAGGGAAGGTCGGCTCGCTGGTCGGCGCGTCGATCAAGACCTACCTGCTGGAGAGCTCGCGCGTGGTCTCGCAGCAGGACGGCGAGAGGAACTACCACGTGTTCTACCAGATGCTCGAGGGGCTCGACGATGCGGAGCTCGACCACCTCAGGCTCGCCCGCTCCGCCAAGTACCGCCTCCTGTACATGGGGGGCGACGGGGCCCACAGCAGGAGGGGCGAGGCCCGCAGGTTCCAGGAGCTGCGCAGGGCCCTGGAGACCTTCGTGGACTCCAGGGCGGAGGGCGAGATCCTGGAGGTCCTCGCCGCGCTCATACACCTCGGCGAGGTGGAGTGCCTGGATCAGGCGAGCGCAGACATGGACCAAGGGGGCGTGGATGAGCGACGGGCCCCGTTTCCAGGGGAATCGCGGATGTCCGCCGCCGAGCGGGGCGGCACCAGCCGCACATGGGGGAGGGCGCCTCCCCCGATCCATGGATCTGGCGACCGCGCGCCAAGTCCATGGATCGCTGATCCATGTTTGCGCCCCCCCGACTGGAGGCGACGGGGGCGGCGGCCCCCAGGGATCTGGGCGCCGACGCCGAGGGGCCGTCCAGCCAGGAGGCCCGGGTGCGCTTCGACGCCGGCGGGGAGGAGGCCCTCGCCAGGGCGGCTCGCCTCCTCGGCCTGCCGCTGGCCAGGCTGGAGCGCGTGCTGACGATGAGAGAGGTGCTCAGATCTAGGCCTCCTGGATGGGGTCGGAGCAGATGGGGTCGGAGGGTCGCACCGCATCGCCGATGCATCGCCGATGCGGCTCGATGTGCAGCGCGATTTGCTTCACGTCGACGTCGCCGATGCATCGCCGATGCATCGGCGACGCGGCGCGATCCTCCGACTCCATCTGCTCCGACCCCATCCAGGAAGCCTCTATCAGAGGAGGGAGAGGTACCGGTACGGCTACCCTTCCCTTGCCGCCACGGCCAGATTTGCTCCGAAGTCCAGGTCAGGCGGCCCTCCATGAGGCCCGTGGCGTAGCGGTATGGTTGCTCTTCGGCTCCCCCAGGTGCACGTGAGACGCGGGGGGAGCAGCCGGACGTCGCACATCAGCTGCCCCCGCACGCGGGCGCAGGCGAGCCAGACGCTGCAGAACGTCACCAAGGTGATATACAAGCGCCTCTTCGATCAGGTCGTGGAGCGGATCAACATGTCCAGCGCCGGCGGGGCCCACCGGGGCGGTGCCGACGGCATCCACAGCATCGGCACGCTGGACATCTATGGCTTTGAGCGGCTCGCCACCAACAGCTTCGAGCAGCTCTGCATCAACCTGGCGAACGAGCGCCTGCAGCAGTTTTTCGTCGAGGAGGTGCTGGGGGCTGAGCAGGACACATACTCCGAGGAGGGCTTGAACGTCGGCAGCTGCCAGCTTCCCGACTCGAAGCCGGTGGTGAACAGCATTGGTGGCATCATGTCGATCTTGAACGAGCACAGCCTCCGTGCGATGAAGAACCTGTCAGTCGGCGACGAGAAGGACGTCAAGTTCTGCGAGCACGTCCACAGGGACCACATCGCGAACCCGCGGAGCAGTGGCCCCGTGATGGCGCTGAAGCTGAAGGCCAATCGCAGCGGCGCGGGCCTGTCCCTGCACGACGGGTTCCAGGTCAAGCATTACGCGGGCGAGGTGGCCTACTCGACCAAGGTCGAGTGAGAAAGATCGGCGTAAACAAACCTTCGGAGCTCCGCGCGGATTTCTTTGATCTGTCTCCGACGCCGCCCCTGGCGCGCGGTGGTGGGGGCGAGCGCCGATCCAAGAAATCCGCGCGGAGCTCCACAAGCTTCTGTTCATGCAGTCAACCCCTCCTCTACCAGGGCTGGATTGACAAAAACAACGATGCGCTCGTGCCAGAGCTCGAGGCGCTGTTGGGCGATTCCGAGAAGGACATCGTTCGCGACATGGCCGACTTGAGGGACACAGCCGTCCAGGCGGGAGAGAAGCTGCACTCAGTGAGCGAGAAGTATCTGAAGAACCTGGACAACTTGCTCAAAACTCTCAGCAACTGCTCCGTCCATTACATTCGGTGCTTCAATCCGAACCAGAACCGTCAGCCTGTCGAGTTCGATACGAAGTACGTTCTCGAACAGGTCATCCAATGCGGCACCGTTGAGCTGGTGAAGATCATGCACGATGGGTACCCCCATCGATGCTTCTTGCAGGACTTGCGGGAACGCTTCCAGAAACTGTTGCCCGCCGAGTTCAACAACTACTCGAATCGTGATTTCGTCCACGCCATCATGCTCGCTTTTGAAATGGACGAGACCCAGTGGACCTTGGGGACGAAACGATTGTTTCTCAAGGCAGGGAACCTGCGCGTGCTAGAGGAGCTGCGAGATACTGGCTGTGTTGCTTCAGGGGGCATGCTTCGCAAGATACGGGCGAAGTTCGCGCGAAAGAAGTTCCGTGCTGCACTCGTCGTCATCCGCTTAATGATTTGGTGGCCGAAACGGCGGCGAGAGGTCGTCATTGGCAAGCTGCGCTCCGCCGTCTTCATCGCAGTGAGGCTGCACAGGTGGTTGAACAAGGCCCGCTTCAATCTCTACGCGGTGGGGCCGAACTCCGATAGCCCTCATATCGATTTGGCCATGCACAAGCACGGCCTTACCTACGCTCTGCCAGGGCAGAGTATGTCCCTACGAAGCTCAGCATCTGGTCACCCGCAAGTCTTTGTAACGCTGAATTCATACGAGGCGCAGCAGTACGCCTCCGACCTGCAAAATGACGTGGACATGCGCAATGACGTGCAGAAGAACGTGTTGAGGACATGGCAGATGAATGCCACGGAGTCCATTCTACACTACGACGGGCGCTCGGTGTTGAGTGCGACACTTTGCCCGAGGGCGTTCATGCATGAGGACGTCTCTCTGCCTGAGTCGGAGCGTCTTCCTGCCGGTTCGTTCGACGACCGCAGTTTGGAGGACGTTCGCCAGGTCGACGTGCATGGATCTGGACTCGCAGTTGCGGTTTCCGAGAGCAGGTGGGAAGGCAACATCACGTGCATGTGCCAACACAGGCAGCATAGGCATACCTTCGCGACTTGCGATGTGGACAACAATGTGCTGATTTGGAAGTGGCTTGGCACCGAGAAGGGCAGCCCTGAGCGTCCGGCGGTGAAGCCTCTCGGCACCTTCTCTTTCGCCGCGTACGAGGCGGTGTACCAGATGTGCTTTCGCTCCGACGTGCCCCAGGACGTTTCAGAGAGGGGTGGCCTTCAGCTGGTCGTCCTGAGCAGCGAGATGGGCCGCCACTGGTTTTCCATATCCATCGTTTCGGTCTTCCAGGCCAGCCACAAGATCGAACACATCCAGCCCATCGGTGTCTACGCAGACTTGATGCCCCGCCTGCGGCAGGCCGGCGCGCAGATCAACTTCTTCGCGATGTCCCATTCCGAGCAGATCTTGGTGCTGGGCGGTCAGGGCCTGCTTCAGTTCTACGCCATTCAGGACCTCGTGCGGCCGTCTCCAGCCGGGGATGGCTTCCACGCGGCGGAGGACAGAGGAGAGACGAGGGTCACGCGGGTAGCACAGATCGCGGACGTCTCGCAGATGTACGCCGACATAAAGCAGAGCTCAATGGTGTCTTGCCTGAGCCTGCCGCCTCCGATCCGGTCTGGGGGCATACTGGACTGGATCGTCATCGGCGCCAGCAATGGGAAGCTGTACGGTTTTCGAAGAAGAAAGGGCCACATAAAACATAAAACGTTTGGCGCTCCGCGCGGACTGCTTGGATCTGCGCCTGGGCCCCACTGGCCGAGGCTCCGGCACCGCCCCTGGCGAGCTCCGCGCGCCAGGGAGGGGGGTCCAGCGCGAATCCAAGAACTGCGCGCGGAGCGCCAAAAGTTATGTTTATGTTTTTTTGTGCTTCTTCTAGGTTTCCGCCTAGATGCCACGGCTGGCGGAAAGATCACGGTGAATACGGACGTGAGCGGGCGGTTTCGTTCAAATACGCACACGTTGGGAGTGCCCATCAAGTCTCTCATCGCGTCCTATGGTGATTCAGCCTTCTCGCATCACAAGGCGGTTCAAGCCACGGGATTGCCATACAGCTTGTTCCTCAGACGAGCGCCGCGGGAGGAGGAGAAGATTTTCTACTCGATGGGCGCGGATGGGAAGTTGTTGACGTGGAGGCTTCTGGACAAGAGAGGTTGGACGGTAGCCGAAGAGAAGACAGTCCAGGATCTCGCCATCATTGGTCATCCAGAGCCTGATGAAAACGGCACGGACTTCGCAGACTGCGTGGTGGGCAGGACATCGAACACCTGCCAACTGTCGCGCGGCCCTTAACAGTTCCAAGTCAGCCCTTCTCGGGAGGAGGGGGATTGGTGGTGATGATGATGAGGTCCATGAGGACGAGGAGGAGGAGGAGGAGGAGGAGGAGAAGGGGGCAGAGATAGAGAGATCAAGAGAGGGAGGGAGAGAGACGGAAGCGGAGGCGGATGAGGACACGACGAGGAGGAGGAGGAGGAGAAGGACAGGAGGAGGAGGAGGTATAGGAGACAGAGAGGGATGTAGGTGGCGGAGGGAGAAGGATGTGGGCGAGGAACACGAGGAATAGGAGGATGAGGAGGAGGAGGAACAGGAGGAATAGGAACGTGAGGAGAGAAGCGGAGGCGAGGAGGGGGTGATCAAAAGATGAAGAGGAGGAGTTTGAGTAGGAGGAGGAGGACCAGGAGGAGGAGGAGGAGGAGGAGGAGGAGGAGGAGGAGGGAGAGGCGGTGGGTGGGTGGTTCGTTGTGGGGTGGATGGGAACGGTGAAGTGGAAGAGGGGGCGGAAAGGAGGAAGAGGAGGAAGAGACGGAGTCAAGGACGAATGAGACGAGGAGGAGGAGGAGGAGGTCGACGGAGAGGAGGAGGTGGAGGAGGAGGAGGTGGAAGAAGAAGAGGAGACGGAATAAAGGACGAAGGAAAGGGCATAGGAAAGTACGAAGGAAAGGGGTAATGAGGATGAGGCGGTTGAGGAAGAGGGGGATTGGGATGGGCAGGGCAAACAACGTAATAACAATACGGGTAGCAGGCACAGGTGGCGAAGGAAACACTGGATGAGGAAGAGAGGGGGGTAAGGGAGGGAAGCCGGTCAGGGTGAAGGGAGGGAGAGGAGGAGGAGGAGAAGGAGGAGGAGGAGGAGGAGGAGGAGGAGCGGGAGGAGGAGAGCGAGGAGAAGTAAACCACTGTCCACACACGCACACTCATTGTCCCTTTCTTATTGAAAACACTGTTCTCTTTTTGGCAGCCAGCCGCCTTCCATTCCTGTAGCAGTTGAGAGCTTTGGCGACGAAAGTGCACGGCGATAGAGCGATATTTTGAAAGCGTGCCGCCCTCCATCCGCGTCACGGTTGGAGTCCCAGGATGCATCAGGATGTCTCTAGCAGATCGCCTACATCGCCCAGCCACCGCTTCTGCTGATGCGACAAGGAGTTAGTGACGAAGAAAAATATTGAATGAGGAGGGAGGACGAGGGATGGTCCTGAGTTGCGGGTGAAGGGGGAAGCGTAAGATGTTTCGAGTATGGGTACATGTATGAAGGTGAGGATGACGACTGGTATGAGGACAGCTAGAGTGGTGTCGATCGAGCCTAGAACGTAGTGCTCTTGCCGGCTTCACTCAATGTAAACCTGACGGGCCCTGGCATGAGGTATTGAAGAGCTGCCTGAGTCTCGAAATTCGACCCAGTCGTCGAGACACAAGTCGCTCCTGCCCGCGACGGAAGTCTTGGCAACCCCATGTCCCCAACATCTGGCCCCAGCCCGAGAAATTGTTCCCCGGGTCCCACAGGCGCTCTGGCACACGGCCAGAGACGCGCCACATGATCGACGCGGGAATACGGGGTCGTCTGCGCCGACAGTGGCGCATAAGCTGCCCGCGTAAGGCCGCGCGTAAGCGCCCTCGTTACAAATGTGGCGTGCAGCGCTGGCGGCTTGCGTAAGCCGCGGCGCAAGGTCGCTATGTTATCTCGCGTAAGACCCGTTTCTTTTCGTCGCCCACGTGGGAGAACACCGTGGTATGGCACGGGCGATACCATAGGGTTGTACCAGCCCTGCGCCAAGCGCGGGTGCTCACCGGTAGATGTGGCGAGAGCGTAGGCATATCGCGGCGAGGGCGCTGGGCGAGCGCATCCACGGAGCAGGCCCCAACAAGTCGGCCGCACCAGGCCATGCTCTGCCAAATTCGTCCCTCTGCACCGCGATGAGGTCGGGAGCTCTGCCTCAGCGTGCCGCCCCGACGGGTCTGGCCCACCACGCTTCGGCGCGGCACGCTTCAGTGAGCGGCTTGAACAAGGAACGCTGACTGTTCAAAAGGGGCGCGGTCGTTCCTTAGGCTTGCATGCGTTATTCTCGCTCCTTATGCGTTATGTATTATCTATCGCTCCTTATGCGTTCTTCCTTGGAAAGAAAGGGCTTCGTTCCTGGTTCATCGTTCCGCAGGTCAGACCGATGATTGTATCTGATTCGCATTCCGGAGGCGTCAGCGTCCCGAGCGGTTTCCCGCCTCCCCCACCCTCCGAGCGGAGCGACACGGCTGTCCGCTCGCAGGGCACAGCGTGGCGCTGGGGCCGCCGCCGCGGCACGTCGTCCCAAAGTGCCTGGCCGTAAGCGTGCAAATGTCACAGCGACGAGCGCGCCAGGCGAGTGTTCGTAGCGCGGGCCCCGCAGTTTGGCCGCACCATGTCGTGCCATGCCCAGTTCACCCCTCGGTGCCCCTCGTACGGTGGATTCGGGTCGTGTCGATGCGGTGGCGACCCCAGCGCGGGCTTCAAGGCTGAACGCCACCCTTGGCCCAGAATCGGCCGACATCGAACGATCCGCGCTGTTGCAAAGCCGCGATCCTTTAGGGCTGAACGGTCCACGCGGTGTCAGAAACCAACGCGCAAGTCGTCATGGCACGAATTTGCAGCGCATCAGCCCTCGTTCCTCACTCCATCCCCATCCCAGTATCCCTCAATGGCAGCTCCCCGCTCACCATGCCTCACGCGTCGCCCGCCCTCGCTCCCGACCCCTCCCCCCCTCCTCCCTCCCAGCTCCTGCTGCCCTCGCCCACCCCTCCCCATCCCCTCCCTCCCCTCCCTCCCCTCCTCTCCTCCTCCCCTCCCCTGCCGCTGTGAGCGCTGACTGGTGGCTACGCCGCGAGGCCGCCCGCACCTCGCAGTTCCGAAGGGCCCTCTGCGCCACGCCCCCCCACGGGCGCGGGCGGGCTCCCCCCACGGGGAGAGCGCGCACGCTTCCGGCGGTCGATCCGCTCCCCGCGGGAGGGGCGGGCGCGGCACGGGTCGCCCGAGCACGACCGGCGTGCCGACGGCAGCAGGCGGCGGCGGCTTGGGGGGCGCCGGGCGGGGCGGGCCGGGAAGGGGTAGGAAGGGACAGAGGGGGTAAGAGGGCCAAGAGGGGGGGGAAGAGAGGGGGGAGGAGGGGGAAGAGGGGTATAGGGGGAGGGGGGGGAGAGGGGGCAGAGGGAAAAGAGGGGGGAAGAGGGGTTCAGAGGGGGAAGAGTGGTAAGAGGGTGGGGGGGGGAAGCGGGAGGAAGGGGCGCAAGAGGGGTGGGGAGGGGAGGGGGAAGGGGGGGGGAAGGGGGGGGAAGAGAGGGGGAGCGGGGGCTGAAGGGGCCACGGGGGAGGGGAGGCGGAAGGATTGCAAGCGGATGGGTGCGGATGGGGCGAGGGGCGGCAGGGTAGGGGAGATGGGGAGGGCGGGGGCGAAGGTAGAAGGGGAGGGGGCAAAGGAAGGGAGGAGGGGAGGGAAGGGGCAGGGGGGTTGAGGGGGGGGGGAGCAGCAGAGGGGGCAGGAGTGGAGGGGGCAGGAGGGGCGGAAGGCGCGGCGAGGGGCCGCAGGAGCGCTGAGGAGGGCGCGAGAGGGGGACAGGGCCGGGGCCCGCCCGGGGCAGACCGCGCTGGAAGGTCGGGGCACTCCTCGCTCCTCGTCCCCAGCGTCATCGTTCTCGCCGACCAGGAGAAGAAGCTGCTCGTGTGCTACGACCGCGCCAGGCCGGAGGAGGTCCGGGGGAGCGGGGGGCGGGGGCGAGGGGCAGGGGAGCCAATGCAGGGGACAGTGAAGGTGATGATTACGAGGATGATTGCTATGGCAAGGACACTGATGGTTATGGTGGTGATGATGATCGTGACGATGGTGGCCATGATAGCGGGACGACGACGACGATGATGATGATGATGAAGATGATGATGATGATGATGATGATGATGATGATGATGATGATGATGATGGTGGTTATGCTGTTGCTGATGATGATGGTTATGTTGATGAGGATGATGACGACGCAGACGTTAATGATGTTGATGATCATGATCATGATGATCATCCTGATGACTGTCTTTGTGGTGGTGATGATGAAGATGATGGAGATGAAGATGATGATGATAATGATGATGAGTGGTGATGATGATGACGACGAGCGATGATGACGATGATAATGATGGTGCGGTGGTGGTGGTGTTGATGCAGATGCTGCTGATGCCGCTGATGATGATAATGCTGGTAATGTGGATGCTGGTTGTGGTGGTATTGGTGATAGTGGTGATGGTGATGGTGACGGTGAGGGTGATGATGGCGATGGTGATTATAGTGCTGATGTGATAGTGGTAATGAGGAGGACGACGAGGAGGAGCCGGACGGGAAGTCGAGAATGAGGGGCAGGACGACGAGGCAGGGTGGGAGGAGGAGGAGGTATTTTTTGTCAGGCCATTGTGCCTGGCAGGAGATGCGCTGTTGCAGAACTGTGACGTTATTTCTAGGCGCCTTTGAATATAACATGCCACGCCGCGGGCGTTTGGCTCAAGTTCTATTCGCCTTCAAGGAAAAGGTTCATACCATATTTTCATCGCATCGGAGTCCGTGGTTCGCCCAACGGGTTCCAGTGCGCGTGGTTAACTCCGCGACGCATTTCCCTTACAGCAGTGGCCGGAGCGGGACCGGCGCCATCGACCCAGTCTTCGATGTAACCTTACCCGAAGTCCGAGTGGCATGGCACACCTTGAGCACGAACCGATTCGCGGAGTTGTGCAATGTTGGATACGAAAACGGAGACGTCAGGTATGTTAACGCGGCGCTCAAGGCAAACCACGAACACATGAAGTTATTCTCCGAGCGCAATGTTACACAGGGCACCAGTACTGTTGGCAACGGTGCAGCATTCACCACGATGCAGATGAACTGCCACATGAATGTTTCTTTGATCTCAGATGTCAGCCGCAACATATATTGCGAGGGTCATATATATTCAGATATATATATATATATATATATATATATATATTCAAAGAACGCGCAAGGAAATTGTCCCAAGATCCTGCCAACACCTCGGAGTATGTTATCTTGATCGCCGGGGTAGCAGAGCCTGCAAGAAACGCCAGGGCATGTGCGCGAACCCAGGGCTGTTCAACAGCTAAAGATGTTGTCGGGTGGCAGAACCCACTTCATGGAATGGGGTGAACAGATGTTGCATGCCCTCGCCGATGTGAAGCACTGTTTTCAGACAACCCTAAAGAATTTAAGCCACAAGTTCGAAACGATCTATGGGGGGCATCACTCGATGATGAAGAGGGCGATCTGATCAAGATCGTAAACAGCAGGGTAGCACTGGGCGAGTGCCTTAAGGGGTCGGAAATCAAGAACAAGGAAATTACGAAAGAGGGTAAGGTCAGTTAGACGAAGACGACGATGTCAAGTTGGACGTGGACCTCTGGTATCCGTTCGATGCCAATTTGGACATTCAAGGATGTCCTCTGCTGTCACCAGAGTTACACTTTCACACCAGACGAATCTAGTTATCAACCCCGAGTAGCAAAACCTGTGAATGTCGTGGCTGCGTTATTAGAATCCATGGGCAAGCATGGGTCTGTCTATTCGTTACCATTGCCATTCGTGGTTACAGCCTTGTGGATTATGATGGTCCATACAGGTGATTGGTTCGACGGCTGGCGACAAGATTGCTTCAATTCTCCAGAGGCGTTGAACATCGTCACTTACCAAAAGCTCTTCTTTGAGTGCCAGGATTGGGCAAGGAAGAACATGCCAGGCGTCGAAACGAAAGACGCCGTCGCAATGGACATTGGCCAGGTCAACGATGACAACTGTGGAAATTAGGACGCCAATGCAGACAGTGCTGATTATTCCAGCGAGGTAGGCAACGTGCGGTCCTGCAGCGTGGGAGACGCGGCCGGGGACGGCAACGCGGACGGAGTTAGCCGAGGAAAATGCAAGCGCAAAAGGCCCATGTGTGGCAAGTGCGGAAGGCACGGGTACATAGCTAAGAACTGCACCACCGAAGAAATCAAAAGGAAAAGGAGGCGGATAAGGGTGCGCAAAGGAGTTGAGGGCTGCCAGGATGCGCAGGCAAGCGGATATAGAAGGGATATCAAGGCACCGAGGTTGCCCGCGGCAAGGGGGGCCACCATGGGGGCCCATGGGGAGGCGGCCAAGGTGGCCGAGCCCCGGGCTGGGAAGGAGGAGGAGGCAAGGGAGGGCATGTGCCGATCGTTGAGAAAGAGCGTCACAAATGCGGCGAACTGGGTGGCATCGCAGACCGCTCTCACAAGAACGCCAACGAGGTTACCTTGGGTCGAGGGGGGTGGGCGGGAGGCCCAGGAGAGCCAACGCAGCTGCCGGGGCAAACTCCACGAGGCCCGGGATGCTACAGCGTCAAAATTGGCGAAGCTTTTGACGCATCTGTAGCCTTAGACGACCCAAAATCAGAGGGGCCGGCTAAAAGGGCACAGGTTTGGAGGACGCAGCGCCGCGCGACGAAGCGGAGGAACAGGGCGGCAAGGCCAGGAGTCAAGAGGAAGTATGTATCACATGAGAGCGGTTTTAATTGCGACGTTGGCACCAACTGGGGCAACCGAATCGCGGAGTGCATCGGGAAGGAGACGCACCGAACGCAAATGTGCGCCGAGTTAGTCGCGATGGAAGGACCCAAACAGGAAGCCAATAAACCGCCAGCATTTGGACCAGGAAACCAGCTTGGAAACCGCAGCTGTCGCCGTGGACGCAGGGGCCCTCAACTGATGGACCTCCAAACGCGGGCGCCCTCTTCCGCGTCGAACTCAGGGAGGCCTCCATGAGCGGCGAACACTACGGCGCAGCTAGTGGGTCAGTCATCTGGAATCATGGACAACGGGCCAACGGGTCATTGTCGGGATTGCGAGAAGGGTTCCATGGTGAGCGTGCCCATCCGGGCATGAGGTTTCAGAAAATGCACACGGGTCTGCTCGCGAGATGGTCGAGGCGGGGAATCGTTCGGCGCAAGATCGAGGCAACGACAGTCGATCCCGCAGTTGCCTCGAGCACGAGGCAACTGGACAAGAGGCGAGGATCCACGGGGGCACGGCAACTTCCAGTTATCCATCCGGGCCCCCCCAAAGGGGGCTGCGAGTCAGCGGGGGCGCGGAATGTAGAAGACGTCGGCGAGGAGAGATGCGAGGTTTTTCCTGGGCAGGCAACTGCCGCGGCGGACCTGTTCCACAGAGCCCGACTGCGCCCGCGGGCCCCAGTCGCAATCGGGCCATCATGAATTTGGAAGGTGACCAAGAGGGCGAGGGCGGGGGCAGCGAGATAAGCGACGTCAGATATTCCGGCGATCTCAGCAGGCCACGCCCGGCACGCAGGAATGGGGGGGGACAGCGGGGGGGGGGGGGCAGAGGACATTCGACTTTCGTCGCGCGCAGCCGGGGCGCCAGATTACACAGGGATTGAGCTTCATTTCAAGAGGTCCCGGATCCACGCGCGGCCCAGGTGTTTTGCCAGCTGAGTCCGTTCATTGGACGCCAAAGGGTGATCTTCAGAAGCGATGGGGCAGCATCCATCGCGGCACTCGAGGAGGCCGTCAATGCCTCGCGCCACCTCAACATCAGGGGAGTAAAAGTTAGTCCGGTCGGAGATCCCCACGCAGATGCGAAGTCGAGAGGGCAATCAGGACGGAACAAATGCCATTGACAACAAGGATTTACTTGAGTTCGGAGATGGGCGCGCTCTCGTACCTTGGCTAGTGGCTAATGCATCTTCCCCCATCATTATTATTCCCATCTTTGCCACGAAAGGGGCGAAGGCGGAAATTCAACAAACCGTTACCCGAGTCTGGGAGAAACATAATGCATCTGAAGACCCCGCCTAAAAACAGAGGCAAGACCCCGGTGCAGGGTGGGGGAGCGGCGTCTTTCTGGGATCGCATGAAACTTGCCAACATGAAATTGCCCGAGGCTAACAAGGTGAAAAACGCTGCCCTGGCCATCTGGTTCTAACGCACTTGGAATGGATGTTGGACCCAGAACGACATGCCTGGCGGCCGCGCCCCATCGAGGCGCAGCTCTCGGCGCCTGGCCGTTAGTTGCTCAAGGGGCCGCTGTAAAGAAGTCGAAGCGCGGCAACGGGGCCCGCGCCGGGGCGCCGCGGGCGCGGGCCGGTCGCCGGGGGAGACGCCGCTAATAGACTGCGCAGCGCGGAGTGCCGCGAACGCGTCGCCAAGTGGCTTAAAGACAGGATGAACATAACATCCGAGGAAGGACAGCATCGGCTCGGATGGGGGCGCAGCCCGACCGTTCCAGGCAGAACATGGATCGAGAGGACCCTTCTTCATAAGACGGGTAAGCCGTTCGACGACACCGCGAAACCAGAGCCGCAATTTCTGCGCCTTGAGACGCGCGGGGTTGCAGCCCCATGAGCAACTGGGCAATGGCATGCATCGCGAAACTGGCGACATGGAAGATAGAATTGACGATTGGAAAGATGGCGGTGACAGGGAGCTACGAGGACCCTGGGCGGGATGGGCCGGGGTCCGCATGTTCTCTGGCAGCGATGACGACGAGCGGCCGGCTAACGTCATTCCGCCGAGGTCAGCGGCAGTAGAAGGAGATGAGCTGGGGATCCGCGAGACGATGGGAGCCAGAGAAGTTAGCAATGGCTGGGGCGATGTCGCAGAGATGCAGCAAGAGCACGCAGAAGCTGGGGGGGCAAGGGGCCCGATGACGAAACGTAGAAGTACC